AGATGATGATGGACATCTGTTCCTGGTGGGTAATATCTAGAGTGCAGTCCAATATAAGCGAGAAATATTCTTCTTCTTTCTGTATTTTGTACTTTTGTACTTGTATTTTCAAACTGACAGAGTGAATGAGTTAATTTCGAATGTTACCAAAGTAGCTGGTTTGGCTGTAATGCTGAGTTTGAACATGCTGAATATGATAATTCAGAACTGAGTCAAATCTAGCATGAAGCTCCACTTCCTTCATGAAATTCCTATTCCCTGATTGGTGGAAAGCCCCTAAAGCTATTTTTTTCTCAACTAAAGACAGAATCTCATAATGACATCTCTGTAATGTTGGATTAATTTTGATTAATTAATTTGGATTAGTTTGAATCGGTCTCCTCAATATCATTTCCATCCTTTCAGTGTCTGTTTGAGCACTGGGCATTCTTCTGTGTCAAAAGATCGATAGAGGATGTTAGTGGGTTGAGATTTGTCAGGTGGCAGATGCAGACTGGCCATCAGGAAGTTTGGGAATTTTCCAAGTGGGCTTGTGAGGGCCAGTTTTTATTTTGTAACCCCGGCATAATATAATTGGTGGCTAGCCGGTTGAATGTAAAGGTCAAAAAAGAAAAAAATAATAATATATATATATATATATGTGTGTGTGTATGTGTTGTTAAAAGTATAATTTTCATTAATATTGAGAGCAAAGTCCTTCCAGGCACACAAAAGTGCAATTAAAATTGAACCCCTTGCTATTTATGTAATCAGAGTGAACATCAAATAAATGCATATACTTGTAACAGGGTGATTTTCCTGGCCTGGTAATATGCTTATTTTTCCAGAGATACAATATGAGTGGTGCAGATATGTCATATGTGGAAAGGGCCTCTGTCAGCGACCTGTCACAAAGACAGAGCTTCTGTGGGATGTAAGTGCTTATTAGCTTCTCTTATTAGGCCAAATGTATTTATTGTTTACGTCAGAAAGATAGATATCTTTATTGTCACTCTTAGGAAAACAAAGAAGTTTTGTTTGGCACTATCTCCAACCCAGCATAACATACAATATACATGTAAACAGAATAAACAGGGCATATTAAAAAGACTAAAATACTTAAATACTAATTAATTCAACGTCAGAACCCTAGATTTGCTTAAATGTGGCTCATTTTGAAATTGCAAAGGTTACTCAAACAAAACATTGAGAGGAAGAACATTCTGGAATCTATGTCAGCGCACGGACTTTCCTGCTGAGCAGCCTCCAGACACTAAAACGAATCTGCTTCAGCTTAATGCCATAAATGAGGGGGTTCAGCAGGGGAGGGATGATCAGATACTCTATGGAGAAGAAGTTATGGAGACCCTGCAGGCTGCTGCTGGATCCATAACGTGCATATAAGACATCAAACACAACAGAAAGACTGAAGCTGCTCAGAGTGATCAGATGGGGCAGACAGGTCTCCATGAACTTGCTCTGTTCTGCTTTCGATCGCACACATGTCCTGATGATGTGGAAGTAGGAGATTACAATCAGCAGTGCTTGGATGAAATGAGAGATGACTAATACATATCCATATAGATTATTCACACTGGTGTCTACACAGGAGAGCTTCACTACATCCCAGTTTGTGCAATAAAGCTTATTTATCTTGGACCCACACAAAGGCAACCTGACCATTAGAAGAACTACAATTAAAATCTCAACAAAAGACAACAGCCAGGGCACAAGCAACAATTTCCCCACATTCCCAGGGGTCATAATAGGGTGATACTGCAGTGGGTTACAGATTGCAACATACCTGTCATAAGCCATTACTGTTAGATTGGCGAGCTCACATAGAATAAAAGAGTAGACAACGAAAATTTGAGTTACACATGCATTGTATGAGATAATATGTGAATCTGATAAGAGGTCCAGCAGAATCTTGGGGTAGAAACCTGTAGCACCATAAATCCCATTGACACACAGATTACACAGGAAGATGTACATGGGCTCATGCAGAACCCTGTCCAGCATGACAGTCACAACCAGAGTCATATTCACAAAAATTGTGAACAGGTAGATGAGAAATGAACAGGAAAAATAAATCAGTTTGTTTGTTCTTGTGT